ACCAAACAATACAGTGTAACATGGAGTAATGATGTGCTTTGATAAGAATGCAGTGGTATTGACTACCAGACAGCTGCTGAACATTTAGACAAACAATTTACTACTTTCTAAAATTCAAAGGACCATTTAGCTACCTGACAAACAAAAACCCAGACAACATTAGATTTTTTTACATTAATTTATTGACAACAATATCACTAGAGATTGCCAGTTTTCTTTAATTTAAGCTGAATCCTTGCATCAAAAAAAAAAAAAAGTTATGCATAAATACTCTGCAAAAATCATTTTCTTACTTAAGAGTCTCAGGGCCCTATCATACACCCGGCGCAGTGTGGCGCAGTAGTCTTTTGCTAGTTTCAGCTTGGCGCAAGAGTCGTTTTGAGGCGTTGCGCTACGCTGTTTAAATAGCAAATGCATTAGCGCTCATTTGTGCGCCTATAGGCGTTCTGGTCTAAAAAGGAAGGCGTTCTGAGGCGGACCGCTGGCGCGTTGCTATTTTGAGAAAATAAAATACATTTTTCATTTGACCAAAACTAACCCGGTCTAAACTCCGGCGCAGAGTTGCGCCTCGCTTACACACTGCTTAATACGGACAAGAGAGCAATAGGCAAATATCTTTACGTATGAAAAAATTTAAATATTAAGGATATATATAGGATATAATAAGAATAGATATAGAATATAAATATAAAGGATTAAAATATTACAAAACAAATTATTTTCTAGCCTACATAAATATGAAAAATCACTGCTTTTTGAGCACATTTTGTTATTATTGTTCATTTATTCGTTTGCTGGAAATCAGAACTGAATTTAGAAATAGTTTTGAAATGAATATTTGCGCTTAACAAACAAAAGTATTTATTTATAGACTAATGGATGTCTGTGCATAAAGGTTTCCCTATCCAAGAGCGAATGTGAAAGTAGTTCCATTATCTCTCAATCTCACGCAGTAGATGCTCTTTTTAACAATTTTCTGTTAAAAAAAAACTGTTAACTGTTTGCTTGTGAAATGCTAATTTTTTCCAGTTAGACTTACTTTGCGTCCTGTAAATAGCGAATGCGCTCTTGGCGCGACGCAGCTGGGTCTTAAAGGGAATGGGAGATGAGACTCATTAATAAAATAAACTCAACCCTTTTAGAACATGCGCCACTGCGCAAGGCAGATTTCCCGTCCTTAAATTTGCAAAAACGCGTCCTGACATGCCCTGAAAGCGTTTGCGCTCTGCGTTTTGCGCTTTGCGCATGGACTGTCAAAATAGAGCCCTCAGACTTGTTTCTAGTCTAAATATCTAAAAATTCCCAGAAACAGTAAGGAATGGAAAAATAAAAGAAAAAAAAATTCATGCCATTTTATATGTTACCTGGACCTATGCGAAACATATCAAAATAGTTTTTTTATTTGATTTATGATTTAAGAATTATAACTTGAGGTATAACAAAAGGATCAAGTCATTATATTTGAAATGTTTTGTTATTTGCAGCTACAAATTGTGATCCTGACTTTCCCATATTTAGCATATATAATTATTTTCTTTGTAACAAATTTTTACAATAAATATTATGAAACAATAAGTGATAAACATTATGAATGCATGTACAGTGCAAACTTCATTGCCAATATATAAAATGTACTGTATAGCTAAATGAACACAAACAAGTAGACCATTTATAATTTTTGAGTTTCTCTATGCATTTATAGATATATGATCGTTTAATTGTTTAAACTAGAACAGGATTGCATTATATCAAATGTAATTGAATGCAATGCAATTTTAAAATTTTAAATAAAATTCAATTTTCAGATCTGTTTAGATTTATTTCAATATTTAAGAAAGTCAAATATGGAGGAATAATGTAGTGTAGATTTGGCTGACTACCCAGACCACGCAAGTGTATTGTCTAATCTATGAGAAAATATATATCTTTAAATTAGTTATTAAATATATAATAATTACTCCCTTGCTGAGACAAAAAAAGTCAATGAAAATTAGCCTACATAACACACTTTCTTATGTAGGTTAATGTTCTTTTACTTTTTTTGTTGATGTAGAACATGTAGCTAGCCTGCCTGCACATAGTTTGCTAAAATTTTAGTCAAACTAACACATTGCTGTTATATTACACCAATGGTTGGGTGTGATAAAGCTCTGGAGGCTTATACTGTACTGTACTCTCTCTACTGGACGCATCAGGAACAACAGGGGTGTAAAACTGCCTGGGCCGTAGATCTGTCTGGATCCAAGTCTGCAGTCTCCCCCTTCTCTAATTATTTGACTGAATTTTTATTTTCCTATTTTTACAGGAATAATCTAAATTTTAACGTAGAAATATGAGTTACTCTCTAAAAATACATACAAATCTTTCCTTTAAAAAAATAATGTAATACCAAATTACAAGCAATAACTGAAAATTTAATGTTAGAATTTTTTATTACAGAACAGATGTGTAAAACAACAGGTATTTCCCTGTATAATGAAAAAACTGGAAAATTCTGTAAAAAAATACAGACAATTATCTGTAAAATGACGTTTATTTTTACAGTGCAGTTCTGAAGAGGCAATAACACCAAACTAATCTAATAAGGGGTTCAAATGAAGAGATTTAAAAGACAATGAAGAGCTTATAAAGACATTAAAAAGAATAAAAACTGCACACAACTTCTCAAACTGCAACCATAAAATGGTCAGAATACTCCCGCTTGTTTGTTTGTTTGTCAGTTTTTACACACAATGCTTGCTATTGCAACTAATACAGGCTCAGAAATGCAACCGCTTCCCACAGATAACTGAGGTTATTCTCTTCGGCCCCTCAGAAACAAGAATGTCTTATATTGGGGGCTTGGGAAGTCTTACACCATATGTTAAATCTCAAGTAAAAAATTTAGGAGTTATCTTTGATTGGGAGTTTTGTCTAGAAAAATTGTATTGTTTTATGTTCAATCCACTTAACTTTGTAAAAAGTATTAAGTTAACTGGGTGGCACGGTGGCTCAGTTCTCAGAATCAAAAAATTCCATCACATGTATGCTTGTACATCAAACACATTCAGCTCAGTAACGTTAAATCCAGCTAATCTTTGTTAAATCTACAAACGTTGTCATTTCTTGTTCCTGAATGATCTCAGTTGAAACACACAATAATCAGCAGTAATCCACATTTAAAAAATAGAAGAAGCACTTATTTTTGACAAATGTGACTTTATTTCAAACTTTAGTACAAAATTCATGATTGTCATCAGTTGTGAGGCTTGTCGCCCCAGACTAATGTCAGTTTTTGTCCGTGTTCAGCTCAGCACCACCTTCAAGATGGGCAGTTTCCAGTGGCACCACGTGGAGGAACGGACTTCGCCACCTATATATACAGGGTTTGGATTATCACTCACCATGAACTACAACTTCACACTAAATCACTAGTCAATAAATGATGTCCTCCAACCATAAATCATATACCACATTAGCAAAACATTAGACTAGAGAAGGTTGTATATGAGGACAATATTAAAGCAAATACTAAAGGTAGCAACTTTATTCATCTTCAGAACACAAATGAAGATATCTGAATGAAAATAATGAAGATATTTTAGTTAAATCTGAGAGCTCCTTAATCTCTCATAGACAGCAAGATTCCTGACTATGAGGATACTTTTATGTGCACATAAAACAAAAATAACTTATTCAACAGTTTCTTCCCTCAGTGTCAGTATAGGGCGCGCGTTCACGTGTTGCGCCTCTGACATATAACCTTGGATGTGCCTGTGAAGTTTTTAAGAGAGGAAGTCAGAGAGGAAGTCGCGCAGGCATCCGTGGGGTATATGTCACTGCACAGTGCTTGTGAACGCGTGCCCTATAATCACACTGAGGAGAAGAAACTGTGAATAAAAATGTTTGTTTTATGTGAAGGCGTATGATCTGTTTTGAGGATGTTTTTTACTGTTTTTGTGGACTTTGAGTCTGGATGAGGGAGCTCTAACATAAAAATAAAAATATTTTAAATAGTGAACACGAGGATGAGTAATAAATAACAAAACTTACTTTTTTTCAATATTTTATTTATTAATATTTTTTGCTTGTTTTTAGAAGAATTTCTGATTAGTCAATAACATGGCCAGATTTATATTTCAATATAGGCATTTTTTATAGTTTTATTTATTAATGATGTTTTTATATTTTATCAGGAGTCTCTCTCCTCTGGCTCAAATTACATTTCTTAGAGAGAGACACTCAAAGTATATGGACCTGGACTGGGAACGACACATAAAACAAAAATAACTTTATTCAACAGTTTCTTCCCTCAGTGTCAGTATAGGGCGCGCGTTCACGTGTTGCGCCTCTGACATATAACCTTGGATGTGCCTGTGAAGTTTTTAAGAGAGGAAGTCAGAGAGGAAGTCGCACAGGCATCCGTGGGGTATATGTCACTGCACAGTGCTTGTGAACGCGTGCCCTATAATCACACTGAGGAGAAGAAACTGTGAATAAAAATGTTTGTTTATTATTTTTCACTTTTTAAAGTTTTATTTATTAATGATGTTTTTTTATTTATTTATACATATTTTTTTACTTTTTTTATTGTTTTATTTATTAATGATGTTTTTTATTTTTCTATTTTAAACTTTTTTATTGTTTTATTTTATTAATTGTTTTTCCAGTTTTTTTTCAAATTGGCTGGTGAGTGATAATGTTCATTGGAAACCCTGTATATATATCAGTTGATCCCAGTAGTCTTTGGTCAGGAGTCTCTCTCCTCTGGCTCAAATTACATTTCTTAGAGAGAGACACCCAAAATATATGGACCTGGACTGGGAACGACTGAGATATATATATATATATATATATATATATATATATATATATATATATATATATATATATTTTTTTTTTTTTTTTTTTTAGTATTTTTTTTAGCATTTTTTTAAACACATATACAAATATATGTGTATATATATATATTTAGCAATATATGAAAGTCTAAACTGTTAAGTGCTTTTTAATTTATTTATTTTTTTTTTTACACAAAATTTCTTTCAGCTATAGGACCATGGTGTGGCTGGAATGACTAGATCTACCCATTAAATTAGGGTATTTCTACTCATTCTTCCTTGTTCTCCTCCTGAAACAAAAACAGTGATCAGGTTACAGCTTTAATGCATTAAACAAACAACATATCATTAAAAGAAAAGCAATAAATGTCAATTAAAAAAAAGAAGTTTAAGAACACAGGATTGTCGTCTGACACTAACTGGGTTTCCATCAGCCTGTGTTGATGCACCTTTTTAAGAATCACATGAGAAACAAATTTAAATGAGAATCCCTTAATTCACAAAATGTTTTATGCTCACTTGAGGTCATTTTGGATTTGTGTGAAAAAGGGTTCATGATGGAAAAGCATTTGTCAAATGAACTTTGATGTAGCGAACATTTCTCAATTATACTTCCCTTGTTTACTGTTGGTTACGAGGTTACCAATACTACAGTTCAGCTGCTCGACCAACTTGATGGAAATTATTTGGTCATAATTCTTATTTAAAATTACAAAATATATAAATATATATTTAGTGAACTTCACATTGTGCTTCACATCAGGATGGAAACTCAGCTCATGACAGATTCATTTGACTATTGTCAAAATCTTCAAAATGTATTAATCACCTTAAACCAGGCATGGGCACGGAGAGCATGCAGTTTACTTCGAATGTTGATGTTCAACTGCAGGCAAGCGCAGATGAAATCCCTGCATTCTGAAAAGAAAGAAATACAGTACATGTAAATATTGGCTTGAAGTTTAAACATGCTTTTTTCATTGACATTCAAATTGTTATACACAACCATCTGTAACTGAAGAGAAGATCTCACCTTTTGACCCTCTGGCAAACTCTATGTCTCTGTTATGCAACTTGAAGAGGTCAACTACTACTGGATATTTTTTAAACAATAGCAAAAACTGAAGAATCCCGAGTGACCACACTGTCGCTGGCTCCCCATGGTATCTGCCAGTGTTTAAAAACTCGGGAGGGGCGAAAAGTCTTGTGCCTGAAAGAAAGAGATTTTGTTTTTATTAGCACAACATCTAAATTTCCAACAGTGTAGATCAGGGGTGATTAAACCCAGGATCTGTGTCCTGCAGTGTTTAGCTCCAGCCCCACTAAGATGAAACTGAACAAGCTAATCAAGCTCTTACTAAGTATACTAAAGATTTTCTGTCAGGTGTGTTGAGGCAAGTTGGAGCTAAACTTAAGCCTCTAGGACTGAGCTTTGTCACCCCTGGTATAGATAAATAACAGCGGATGTTTCAAGAATCTCATTGAGCCTTGACCCATCACAAGAGCTCCTTAGAGCTTTGAGGGATTTACATACCTGAATAGTGATGGTAACAGTCTTTAGTAAGGAGGACACTGCACCCAAAGTCAATCAGTTTGACTTCAAAGGTCTCCGGATTTATCAGCAAGTTCTCCAGCTTGATATCGCTGTGAAACACTCCGCGTTGGCAGCACGTGTGAGCTGCAATTGTTACGTTGAACATGATTTTCCGTACCAAGTCCTCAGGGGTGTCTTCTTTGTTGTCGATTAAAAATTCACGTAAGTTCATACTGGGTATGAGCCGCTCCACGACTATGATGTAACGTTCAGCCTCAACCTTCCAGTCCAGAAGCTCAGCAATTTGTTTAACCCTGGGGCCTTTAGTGGCGAGATAGTGCAGAGCGATCTCTGATGGAAGGGGTTTTTCAAACCCACCCTAAAAGAAAAACAGTTGTTCAGATCATTTGATGGAAAAGTTAATTCCTGTAAAAACTGTTAGAGACATCTATCAGAAAAAACAGTGGGCAGATTATAGAGAGCAAAACAAAGACACATTATCAAAGGAGAATAACTGACACTTAGCATGTTTCTAAAATATCTGCAAACATATTATGGTATTTTTGTGCTTTAAAAGAGTCAAAAACTTACATACAGCACCTTTAAAATGACATGTTTAAAATAGAAACAGTTAATGAGAGCAAAGAGCACAGATAACTTACAACTTTGATGAGTCGCAAAGCCTTGGAATCGACTATTTTTACTGCCACTTGAAGGCCATCTTCTAAACGGGTCCCGGCAAAAACTGTTCCAAAGCCTCCTTTGCCCAGCTCAGCACCAATTTTATAGTGCTGTGAGTTGATCTCTGTGAAAAGAGAAATCAGAGAAGTTAATAACATGTGTGAAATAGTGACAGTGCTACCTTCATCTAAAACTACTCACCTTTCTGTTTCCGCTTTCTTTTTAATTCTGTCTCCACTACTCTCTCTCTCTCTCTCTTTCTCTCTCTCTTTCTCTCTCTCTCTCTTTCTCTCTCTCTCTATATATATAATATATATATACACACATACACACACACACACACATACATATACATACATATTAAAATATGCATTTGTGTTGGGTTTTTCAGGGTGTCATGGTTGTAAACTTACCAATGATGTGTGTGTCTTCATCCTTCAGCTTTTCTGGCTGAGGTGGAACAGCGCCCTCTGTCTGACAGGTTGCACCTTGAGCAACATCCTCTTTACAGCCGGGCTTAGCAGAGACCACATTTGGGGGGTTGTAATGACTACAGCCAGGCTCGGCAGAGACCACATTTGGAGGGGGGTCATCACCACAGCTGGACTCAGTAGAGACCACATTTGGAGGGGGGTCATCACCACAGCCGGACTCGGCAGACTCGAAATTAGTAGAGGTGTCATCACCACAGCCGGACTCGGCAGACTCAAAATTGGTAGAGGTGTCATTACCACAGCCGGACTCAGCAGACTCGAAATTGGTAGAGGTGTCATCACCACAGCCGGACTCGGCAGACTCGAAATTGGTAGAGGTGTCATCACCACAGCCGGACTCGGCAGACTCGAAATTGGTAGAGGTGTCATCACCACAGCCGGACTCGGCAGACTCGAAATTGGTAGAGGTGTCATCACCACAGCCGGACTCGGCAGACTCGTAATTGGTAGAGGTGTCATCACCACAGCCGGACTCGGCAGACTCGAAATTGGTAGAGGTGTCATCACCACAGCCGGACTCAGCTGAAAAGAAGCTGCTGTAGGAGCTGACTGTGAGCTCACTACTACAGTTGGACCCGGCTGAATAAATCTCTTGGGGGTAGTCATCACTACTGCTGGACTCAGCGTAGAAAAGGTATCGAGGAACATCATCACTGCTGGAGGAGCTGGCTATGTCCTTACTGTGACCATCGACAGGTTCTACCAGTGATTGTTCTTCACCGTGAACACTGTCAGGCTCTACCAGTGATGAATCGTCACCGTGAACACTGTCAGGCTCTACCAGTGATGGTTCTTCACCGTGAACACTGTCAGGCTCTACCAGTGATGAATCTTCACCGTGAACACTGTCAGGCTCTACCAGTGATGGTTCTTCACCGTGAACACTGTCAGGCTCTACCAGTGATGGTTCTTCACTGTGAACACTGACAGGCTCTACCAGTGATGGTTCTTCACCGTGAACACTGTCAGGCTCTACCAGTGATTGTTCTTCACCGTGAACACTGTCAGGCTCTACCAGTGATTGTTCTTCACTGTGAACGCTGACAGGCTCTACCAGTGATGGTTCTTCACCGTGAACACTGACAGGCTCTACCAGTGATGGTTCTTCACCGTGAACACTGTCAGGCTCTACCAGTGATGGTTCTTCACTCTGACCATCAACAGGTTCCTCCAGTGATGGTTCCTCAGTCTGAACATTGATCTGTTCCTCCAGATGCAAAGATGATTCTTCACACCAGTCACCGATTTCTCGACCTGAAGAAAAGGAATAATATGAAACAAAAGATTTTAGATTTACCTAAATAATATTTATCCAGTGTTTATTATTGATAATAACAAATGCTGTCAATTATGAACTGACTTTTAAGGTCATTTCTTTCTACTTTTACTTTTAGTTGTTGGTATCCTTGCACATGCAAGGATATTTTTTGCTGTGATCAGAATAGTGATTTTAATTGAGTTGCTGAATGTATATATAATCAGGTCATCCAAATATTTATTGTTAAGTTCATGGTTAGATACTGGATATTAGACATCTAGATAATGAGATCGTCCTTTCAGCTTCTATTTTGTATCATATAACAATAAATAAAATAACCCTAAGCTTGGCAAAAACAAAAATATGAAGAAAGTTTTCATGTTTTCCACTACAAATAGCATTAAAGCATGTGAAATAGGCATGTTGTCTGTTTGAGGATGTTTTTGTGGTATTTTTATCTACTTTAAGCAAGTCAGGAACCTTGCTGTATATGCAGGATGAGAGAGCTTTCAGAAACATCTTTATTTGTGTTCAGAAGATGGAAGAAGGTCTCAGGGGTTTGGAGTGACGTGAGGGTGAGTAATTAATTACAGAATTTGCATTTTTGGGTGAACGAACCCTTTTATCTTGAAGCAGAGAAAAGGACTATCTTGTTCATAAACAATGGTGTCAGGACTTTTCACCTTGATGACACTGACACATTCATTGACACGAATTCTTGCTTTTGAAGAATGAGCTATTCATTTTGAGCAAGAGACACGCTTTTGCAGGTAATCAACTAGGTTTTTGCAGTTTGCATTGAGAAAAACTAAATCAAGCAGCGTTTTCTTGACAAGTAAAAATATTCTCTTGTGTTCAGAAATATTTCAAATTGAACTGAGTTTTCCTTAAAACAAGCTAAATAATCTGCTGGGGGTGGGGGATTGATATCTGAACTAGACGAAAAACTAAAGCTATTATTTTATATTATTGTTGGCACCATATTAGACACGTTTGTGTGACGAATGTTTGACACCACATGTGTTTAGTTTTCATTAGGCCTATATTATTACCAAAAACCTTATTCACTTTTGTAAATATTTACAGTAAAGTCAAATAAGTGTAGAGCCCTACACAGACTCCAGTATACAAAATGAGCAACATGTAATTATAACACAACATTATTTACCATCACTGTTGGCCACAGGGGGTTCTGTGACCAGTCCTTCTTGACGGTCGAAGCTTTCATCTTGACCTGAGACGGTGGAACTGATGTTTCTTTCTCTCAGGAAGAGAGCAACTACTCCGAGTACGGTAAATAACATGAGGGGTTAATTTCCGTACACTTAAATATGAGAAATGTTAAATAAACCTACAATAAATACTGAAATTTACTGTACGTAAAGCTCGTTTGTCAGAGTAAGCCTTAATAAATCGTACGCTATCACTTGACGATACAAGAAAAGCAAATTATTCAAAGCAAACTTTGTACAACTCAACTAAACACTTGTCAAGTAAGAGTAATGGCGAAATGAGGAATGTAAGAGGTGTCTCTCGTAAGAATTCGAATGTGTTCCAGCGTTTCCCAGCCAACTGATACGTGATTGGTCAGTTTTGCGCTGTGTATCTTTAATTTTCTCCGAGTTGAAAAATACACTAGTTTTAGCGGTTGTTTTTGTCCTTCACGGGTGTTTTTGGAGTAAAATAAACGGATTTTTTTCATGAAATCTTTGACTCGTAAATATTTCCTGTTTGATGAATCAATACTGGTTTGGTGAACTTGAGATTCGTTTTTTTTTTTTATCAGGGTCGTTTTAAACACATTTACAAGCTTTGTCTTAGCGTTTATTTCGTAACTTTACTTCAAATGTAAGATATGGCCGCTGTGATGTACTAAGTGTATACTTATTGAACATGACATATCAGTGTATATCAATTTAAATGACTAGATCTGCCTTATCAAACTCCATATACTCTGCAAATACAAAAGTATGGTAACTTAAATTTAATGCTGAAATTAATAAAATGGCGCCATGTCATACTGATATTGCTTTAAAAGTCCATCCATTCACCTTTACCACCAGCAAAAACCTTTTAACATGTAATAATAATAGTCTTATTAATATTAATAGTCTTAGTAATATTCTGTTCTCCCTGCAGATTTTCTCCAAGCAGTCTCCTGTCACAACACACACATTTAGCCAACCTAAAGGCACTTTTTAGAGCCAACATCTATCTATCTATCTATCTATCTATCTATCTATCTATCTATCTATCTATCTATCTATCTATCTATCTATCTATCTATCTATCTATTTTCAAAACTCGTGTCCATATATGTTACTGTCTCTGTTATGTGTCTCTAAATCATAATATCTGTTGTCTTTATTTTGTTAACTTTACTCTCTCTCTCTCTCTCTCTCTCTCTCTCTCTCTCTCTCTCTCTCTCTCTCTCTCTCTCTCTCTCTCTCTATCTGACTACTTGTCTGTCAAAAATCAATTCACATTGTAAAAGGAAGCAGCCTGTGAAGCAGAGGCTGAAGAAAAAAGCTTCAGCAGTTGGAAGCAGGAGGAATGGGTGGTCGGTTGAAAGAAGAGCCACAACAATGCATCCAAAGATGAAGCAGTTGTTATAGTATGTACTTTTTAAAACTGTTTTTTTTTTTTTTTTTTCAGTAAAAAAAATGTCAAACATTGAATGTGCAGTGCATCCGGAAAGTCTTAGCGCCTCACTTTTTCTACATTTTTTGTTACAGCCTCATTCTTAAATGGATTAAATTCATTTATTTCCTCAAAATTCTAAACATAATACCCCATAATGACAATGTGAAAAAGATTTTTTTGTAATTGTTGTTTATTTATTTATTTTTTAATTTTAAATCCTGAAAAATCACACGTGCATAAGTATTCACAGCCTTTGCTCAAAACTTTGTTGATGCACCTTCGGCAGCAATTACAGCCTCAAGTCTTTTTTAAGATAATGCCCCAAGCTTGGCACACCTGTCTTTAGGAATTTTTGCCCCATCCTCTTTGCAGTATCTCTCAAGCTCTATCAGAAATGCCAACTCGTCCAGCTGGGACTCGAACCAGTGACCTTCTTGCTGTAAGGTGATAGTGCTATCCACTGAGCCACCGTGCCACCCTTCTACGTTAATAATGTGTAAAATTGTAAAACATCTTTACAATGTGGAGCGTTCACCCTTTTGGCTGTATAATCAGTAGCTTCTGCCTTTACTTTGAGTTAATCTGTAGATTGTCACTGTCCAGTTGTACAGTAGTCACACAGTTTTGCCAATATTTGAGCTAATCCTGAGCTAATGTTTAGAGGCCCTCATGGTTTCATCCTTTTGTTTAGTTTTTTCAATGTAGAAGAGTTGTTTGTGTTGTATCAGCCTTTCTTATTTCCTAATTTCACCACAAAGTTAAACATCTTGTATGATATTGCAGTTTTTCTCAGTCACTTTAGTAGGTTTCTCAGATCAAAATTGAAATGAGCAAAACAGGAAGTTCATTTCTCAAAACAATACGTACAAATAGCAAAACACCATGGATTATCTGCATAAGCCAGTCTCTTGAATCCTTAGTTCATCTCTCAAAACTAAATTTCTGTGTCAATGAATGTGTCAGTGCCATCATAAAGACAAGTCCTTGTGTCATTGTGTACGGATAAGACAGTCAGATCATTTAGTCTTGTTGTCCATAAAACATTGTACTCTGGAGGGGTCTCCTGGTGTAAACGATTGCAATATTTTTGTTTGCAGTTTGTACTGTAATTTGTTGACAGATCATGTCATTGTGATACAGAAAGACAAATGCAGCACCGCATAGCACAAAAAAACAAAAACAAAAGTAGAAATGTGAACATAGGACAATCTCAGATGCCATTTCATCAGAAAAAGTCAAGATTAACCTGGGAAAATGTACAAACTGTAGACCAGGGGTCACCAACCTTTATGAAACTGAGAGCTACTTCTTGTGTACCGATAATGTGGAGGGCTACCAGTTTGATAAACACCTCTCAAATCACAAATTTGCTCAATTTACTTTTAGTTATACTTTATGTTTTTGGTAATAATTAATGATATTCATCCATGTGAAGACACTGATCATGTTAATGATTCTCACAAAATTTATCAGCAATGATTTAACAGGGTAGGAAATACCCTGTATTTACTGTATCAATGTGCAACACTTTATTTTTATATATCTCTGCAAATATTTACATTTTTAAATGATTATTTCTATATTAGATGAAGCTTACTGGTAAGTGGCGCTATGGTGAGCTATTTTTAGAACAGGCCTGCGGGCAACACATGTGATCCTCGCGGGCACCATGTTGGTGACCCCTGCTGTAGACAGATTTAGAAAGAAAAGTCTAATGGAAATGTATAGATAAATGCATTATGACAACATATGACAACTTGGATGTAAAGACTTATGCAATGAAAAAACGATTAAATGTTGTGGGGGTGGATTAATTCAACAGAAACCAAAATAATAAATTAATAAAAATAATAAATTTAGATCAACATGACATAAGCAGCTGATAATGTAGTAAACATCAGAGAATTGCACATAATCATTTGCATGGTCGTGCAAAAGCATTTGCGACTTGTTCAAAGGAGTCAGAAGCTGCTTTTCTGATGTGCACAAGTGACACGATGATGTGGAGATTGAACAGGTAGTTTCGAGAATTTAATTCTGATCTGAGACATGGACCAACGCCACTGAGAAAAACTGTAATTGGTATGCGGTCATCAGAGATGCTTGACTGAATGTTGTCAATAATTAATAATATACACATATTTTTTCTTTTTTGCTTTTCTGTTGCTTTAAACATTAAATACCCAATCTTGTCATTGCAGGTTAAGAAACTCCTCGCCGTTGAGTACTAGCCTGTTCTGCTTCTCAGCAAGGAGACTAAGAACAAAGAACACAAATGTGAAATATTGACCCCTCGGTGCACACTTTCCACTTATGCCCAAGACTACCTTCAGAAGATTGGCTCATTTTCTCAACACTTTTGTGAAGGTGAGATGCATGCGCGATATTTTTAAAGTCACTGTAAAAGACACTGGGTTCCACACAACTCCAAGTTTACTTAATTGTTTTTTTTTTCTTTTTACAAATTTAAGCAAATTAAACATTAAAAAGTAAGTAATAAACTAATTTGCAACAAGTAGTTTAAACAAGCACATTTTTTGAGTGTATAGTTAACATCTTGTCTTGATGTTTGTCTTGATGTTTACCTTTATGAAGGAGCAGGTGGAGGAGGCGACTATGATGGAGAGCCAAGTGCAGCAGGTGACCATTTGAGGAGCAGGTGGAGGAGGTGACCTTGGGCACGACCATTTCTCCTATGACCAAACGTCTTGTGCAGAGCTGCAGTTTAGGCGCCTGAGGCTGGAGAACGCTAGACGTCCATCGTGGAGAAGCTGCAGGTGGGAGTGGTCACCAGCTGGTGTACAGGCTGGCCCTTCAGGATCAATGCGAGGACTCGTCGGTCACTGGAGTCTTACAGGAATCAGTCTCATGCTCTCCACTCCTCCATGACCACCACAGCAGCTGCTCAGGATACGGCCTGGCTCAGGATTTTAGAAACCTTGGGATTAATAAAAAAAAAAGACTAACATACAGTAAGTGCAGATGCCGTTCAAATTATAATGTCTTTTAGGAAGTGTTCCTGGCTCCAGTTGCCCTAAATAATGCAGCATAACAATCCTTTAGAGGAGAGGTTCTCAAAGTGGGGGTCGGGACCCCCCGAGGGGTCGCGGGACAATGAAGGGGGGTTGCCTGGTGATTTTCAAAAATCAATTAATTTGTATTAAACCTTAAGACTTACTGTATTTTATCAATAACCTACTGAAGAGGAAAAAAATAGTCGTTTATAGTTAATATAAACTATATATTTACTATAGTAGCTTATAGTTACTAGTTCTATTGGATTGCGACTTCTCGGGTAATTACATTATACTAAAGACACCAAGTACCAAGTACCAAGCCCTCTATAAAACAAGTGAGAATTTGGCCAGAGGGAGCTATGTCTGAATTACAGGACTGCTTTGATCGCACAGACTGGACTGTGTTCAGAGAGGCCTCCACAAATGGCCAAGGCACAGATATGAATGAATATGCTGATGCTGTATCCAGTTATATTTTTAAGTGTATGGAGGATGGCTGTGTCACTAAGAACATTAAAGTCAGAGCGAATGAGAAACACTGGATGACTGCAGAGGTGCAGGCTTTGCTAAAAACAAGAAACTCTGCTTTCAAGTGAGGGGATGCAGCTGTCCTTAGGTCTGCTCGGGCCAATCTGAATAGGGCAATCAGAGTGGCAAAATGAGCCCATGGAAATAAGATTAAAGAATACTTCCAGGACCACAAAGACACTATAGGGGCCCTATCATACAACCGGGGCAATGTGGCGAAAGGCGCGGCGCAATACTCTTTTGCTACTTTTAGCTCGGCGCAAGGGTCATTTTGAGGCGTTGCGCCACGCTGTTTAAATAGCAAATGCATTTGCGCTCAAATGTGCGCCCATAGGCGTTCTGGTCTAAAAAAGCAGGCGTGTTTTGGTGCGTTACTATTTTGAGAAACTGTAAATAGTCTGATCTTTAGACCAGAACAAAGTCGCTCTGTTGTCTGGCGCAAAGTGCACCTGGCTTACACACTACAAACAAGATGCAGAGCAATACGCAAATATCTTTACATATGAAAAATATATAATATCTTAAGGATATATATATATATATATAATAAGGATATATACAGGATATAAATAAAAATGACTAAAATATTACGAAACATATTAATTTCTAGCTTACTTGAAGTTTTAAAAACCACTGCCTTACTTTCTTCCTCTCGCGAGGCTTTTTCAGTTCATTCAATTTGCTTTTGTATAATGTTATTATTATTAGCAGTATTATTTATTATATCCATATTTATATTTGTTTTATTAAAAAACAAGCTTAGATTTGTCCACCTGTCAAATTTTAGACAATATGGGGCATGGCAGGTGTATTTGGATATAACTCAGTATTTTGAGCACACTTTGTTATTATTGTTCATTTATTCGTTTGCTGGAAATTAGAACTGAATTTAGAAATAGTTTTGAAACAAATCTTTGCGCGTAACAAACGAAATTAATTATTTATAGGCTAATTGATGTCTGTGCGTAAAGGTTTCCCTATCCACGAGAGCAAAAGCGAAAGTGAAATTACTTTACGTCAAAATGCGCTTATGGCGTGACGCAGCTGGCTCTTAAAGGGAATGGGAGATGAGGCTTTAATTGGTTTATTCTCAAAACACACCTATAACTCATTAAGAAAATAAACTCAACCCTTTTAGACCATGCGCCATGGCGCAAAGCGGATATTCCCGTCCTTAAATTAGCAAAAATGCATTCTGACACGCCCTGAAAGCGTTTGCGCCCTGCGTTTTGCGCTCTGCGCATGGATCGTCAAAATAGAGCCCTAGAAGTTTATGGCAGGGTATTCAGTCTGTCACAGACTATACAAGCATCTCATTGTCCTGTGAAAACAACTTTAACTTACTTAATGATCTTAACAACTACTTTGTAAGGTTTGATGCTGTTTTACACCAGCAGTGAAGGCCACATTGCAGCACGACGAGCAGGTGCTAAGCTTTGATATCACTAATGTCCGCAAGACCCTAATGAAAGTAAACGCTGGTAAGGCGGCTGGGCCTGACAAAATACCAGGCAGAGTACTCAAGGGGTGTGCAGAACAACTTGCGCCTGTACTGACGGACATAATTAATATCTTTCTGCATCAAGCTGTTGTGCCATCATGCTACAAAACATTTGCTATCATTCCAGTGCCAAAAAGACCTTCAGTCACTTCTTTAAATGACTATCGGCCGATAGCTTTAACTTCACTGATAATGAAATGCTTTGAGAAACTGGTAAAAAGTCATATCACCTCCATCCTGCCTACTTCACTTGACCCATTTCAGTTAGCCTGTCGGCCAAACAGGTCAACTGATGATGCTATATCCACTGCACTGCATCTGAGTCTTGAACACTTGGAGAGTAGAAACACATCGGTACAGGTGCTGTTTGTTAGTTTTAGCTCTGCTTTTAATACTATTATTCCTCAGCACCAATAAATTAATCAATCAATCATCAATAAATTAGCATCTCTAGGTCTTAATACACCTCTTCAGAACCGGATTCTTGACTTTCTGACAAATAGGCTACAGTTTGTGCGAGCGGAGGGTATTTCGTCATCTACCACTCTGCTCCATACAGGCTCCCCTCAGGGGTGCGTCTTGAGTCCACTTCTATACACTCTGATGACCCATGATTGTTGTGCAAAACTTAGCACTAATCACATTATTAAATATGCTGATGACACCACAATAGTGGGTCTCATCCAGGATAATGATGAGAGGAACTACAGGGAGGAGGTAAAGCTCTTCACAGAGTGGTGCAGGGATAACAATTTAATTCTTTGGCCATGTATCTTTGGCCATGTATATTATATATATAATATATTATGTATATTATCAGGAGTCTCTCTCCTGATAATATATGGACCTAGACTGGGAACGACACAGAAATATATATATATATGTGTGTTTTTTTCTTTTATTAACATTTTTTAAAAACTAAATATGAAAGCTAAGTTAATGTATACGAAAGTGAGTTATAAACTCACTTGATAATATGCAGAATTGATACACTCACCAAACAATTTCAGATATGCAAAAGCCCACTTGCAAATTAATTTAGATTCATTTAATAAGAAAAATGAAATACACAAATAGTTGGAAAGTGTAATGGTGAAAAAGTGTAATGGTTAATTGTAGCCTAGTTATACATATTCATATAGAGAGATGCATTTTGTTGTATTGTTTATATATAAAGTTGCATTTTGAAAATAACAAAATTATAAACAAACAATACAGTGTAACATGGAGTAATGATGTGCTTTGATAAGAATGCAGTGGTATTGACTACCAGACAGCTGCTGAACATTTAGACAAACAATTTACTACTTTCTAAAATTTAAAGGACCATTTAGCTACCTGACAAACAAAAACCCAGACAACATTAGATTTTTTTAACATTGATTTATTGACAACAATATCATTAGAGATTGCCAGTTTTCTTTAAATGAAGCTGAATCCTTGCATCAAAAAAAAAAAAGTTATGCATAAGTACTCTGCAAAAATTATTTTCTTACTTAAGAGTCTCAGACTTGTTTCTAGTCCAAATATCTAAAAATTCTCAGAAACAGTAAGGAATGGAAAAAGAAAAAAAAAATTCATGCCATTTTACATATTACCTGGACGTATGCGAAACATATCAAAATAGTTTTTTTATTTGATTTATGATTTAAGAATTATAACTTGAGGTATAACAAAAGTCATTATATTTGAAATGTTTTGTTATTTGCAGCTACAAATTGTGACCCTGACTTTCCCATATTTAGCATATATAATTATTTTCTTTGTAACAAATTGTTACAATAAATATTATGAAACAATAAGTGATAAACATTATGAATGCATGTACAGTGCAAACTTCATTGCCAATATATAAAATGTACTGTATAGCTAAATGAACACAAATAAGTAGACCATTTATAATTTTGAGTTTCTCTATGCATTTATAGATATATGATCGTTTAATTGTTTAAACTAGAACAGGATTGCATTATATCAAATGTAATTGAATGCAATGCAATTTTAAAATTTTAAATAAAATTCAATTTTCATATCTGTTTAGATTTATTTCAATATTTAAGAAAGGCAAATATGGAGGAATAATGTAGTGTAGATTTGGCTGACTACCCAGACCACGCAAGTGTATTGTCTAATCTATGAGAAAATATATATCTTTAAATTAGTTATTAAATATATAATAATTACTCCCTTGCTGAGACAAAAAAGTCAATGAAAATTAGCCTACATAACACACTTTCTTATGTAGGTTAATGTTCTTTTACTTTTTTGTTGATGTAGAACATGTAGCTAGCCTGCCTGCACATAGTTTGCTAAAATTTAGTCAAACTAACACATTGCTGTTATATTACACCAATGGTTGGGTGTGATAAAGCTCTGGAGGCTTATACTGTACTGTACTCTCTCTACTGGACGCATCAGGAACAACAGGGGTGTAAAACTGCCTGGGCCGTAGATCTGTCTGGATCCAAGTCTGCAGTCTCCCCCTTCTCTAATTATTTGACTGAATTTTTATTTTCCTTTTTTTACAGGAATAATCTAAATATTAACGTAGAAATATGAGTTACTCTCTAAAAATACATACAAATCTTTCCTTTAAAAAAATAACGTAATACCAAATTACAAGCAATAACTGAAAATTTAATGTTAGAATTTTTTATTACAGAACAGATGTGTAAAACAACAGGTATTTCCCTGTATAATGAAAAAACTGGAAAATTCTGTAAAAAAATACAGACAATTATCTGTAAAATGACGTTTATTTTTACAGTGCAGTTCTGAAGAGGCAATAACACCAAACTAATCTAATAAGGGGTTCAAATGAAGAGATTTAAAAGACAATGAAGAGCTTATAAAGACATTAAAAAGAATAAAAACTGCACACAACTTCTCAAACTGCAACCATAAAATGGTCAGAATACTCCTGCTTGCTTGTTTGTTTGACAGTTTTGCACACAATGCTTGCTATTGCAGCTAATACAAACTCAGAAATGCAACCGCTTCCCACAGATAACTGAGGTTATTCTCTTCGGCCCCTCAGAAACAAGAATGTCTTATATTGGGGGCTTGGGAAGTCTTACACCATATGTTAAATCTCAAGTAAAAAATGTAGGAGTTATCTTTGATTGGGAGTTTTGTCTAGAAAAATTGTATTGTTTTATGTTCAATCCACTTAACTTTGTAAAAAGTATTAAGTTAACTGGGTGGCACGGTGGCTCAGTTCTCAGAATCAAAAAACTCCATCACATGTATGCTTGTACATCAAACACATTCAGCTCAGTAATGTTAAATCCAGCTAATCTGTGTTAAATCTACAAACGTTGTCATTTCTTGTTCCTGAATGATCTCAGTTGAAACACACAATAATCAGCAGTAATCCACATTTAAAAAATAGAAGAAGCACTTATTTTTGACAAATGTGACTTTATTTCAAACTTTAGTACAAAATTCATGATTGTCATCAGTTGTGAGGCTTGTCGCCCCAGACTAATGTCAGTTTTTGTCCGTGTTCAGCTCAGCACCACCTTCAAGATGGGCAGTTTCCAGTGGCACCACGTGGAGGAACGGACTTCGCCACCTATATATACAGGGTTTGGATTATCACTCACCATGAACTACAACTACACACAAAATCACTAGTCAATAAATGATGTCCTCCAACCATAAATCATATACCACATTAGCAAAACATTAGACTAGAGAAGGTGGTATATGAGGACAATATTAAAGCAAATACTAAAGGTAGTAACTTTATTCATCTTCAGAACACAAATGAAGATATCTGAATGAAAATAATGAAGATATTTTAGTTAAATCTGAGAGCTCCTTAATCTCTCATAGACAGCAAGATTCCTGACTATGAGGATACTTTTATGTGCACATAAAACAAAAATAACTTTATTCAACAGTTTCTTCCCTCAGTGTCAGTATAGGGCGCGCGTTCACGTGTTGCGCCTCTGACATATAACCTTGGATGTGCCTGTGAAGTTTTTAAGAGAGGAAGTCAGAGAGGAAGTCGCACAGGCATCCGTGGGGTATATGTCACTGCACAGTGCTTGTGAACGCGTGCCCTATAATCACACTGAGGAGAAGAAACTGTGAATAAAAATGTTTGTTTTATGTGAAGGCGTATGATCTGTTTTGAGGATGTTTTTTTACTGTTTTTGTGGACTTTGAGTCTGGATGAGGGAGCTCTAACATAAAAATAAAAATAGTTAAAATAGTGAACACGAGGATGAGTAATAAATAACAAAACTTACTTTTTTTCAATATTTTATTTATTAATATTTTTTGCTTGTTTTTAGAAGAATTTCTGATTAGTCAATAACATGGCCAGATTTATATTTCAGTATAGGCATTTTTTATAGTTTTATTTATTAATGATGTTTTATATTTTATCAGGAGTCTCTCTACTCTGGCTCAAATTACATTTCTTAGAGAGAGACACTCAAAGTATATGGACCTGGACTGGGAACGACACATAAAACAAAAATAACTTTATTCAACAGTTTCTTCCCTCAGTGTCAGTATAGGGCACGCGTTCACGTGTTGCGCCTCTGACATATAACCTTGGATGTGCCTGTGAAGTTTTTAAGAGAGGAAGTCAGAGAGGAAGTCGCACAGGCATCCGTGGGGTATATGTCACTGCACAGTGCTTGTGAACGCGTGCCCTATAATCACACTGAGGAGTAGAAACTGTGAATAAAAATGTTTGTTTATTATTTTTTACTTTTTAGTTTTATTTATTAATGATGTTTTTTTATTTATTTATACATATTTTTTTACTTTTTTTATTGTTTTATTTATTAATGATGTTTTTTATTTTTCTATTTTAAACTTTTTTATTGTTTTATTTTATTAATTGTTTTTCCAGTTTTTTTTCCAAATTGGCTGGTGAGTGATAATGTTCATTGGAAACCCTGTATATATATCAGTTGATCCCAGTAGTCTTTGGTCAGGAGTCTCTCTCCTCTGGCTCAAATTACATTTCTTAGAGAGAGACACCCAAAATATATGGACCTGGACTGGGAACGACTGATATATATATATATATATATATATATATATATATATATATATATTTTTTTTTAGTATTTTTTTTAGCATTTTTTTAAACACATATACAAATATATGTGTATATATATATTTAGCAATATATGAAAGTCTAAACTGTTAAGTGCTTTTTAATTTTTTGTTTATTTTTTTTTACACAAAATTTTTTTCAGCTATAGGACCATGGTGTGGCTGGAATGACTAGATCTACCCATTAAATTAGGATATTTCTACTCATTCTTCCTTGTTCTCCTCCTGAAACAAAAACAGTGATCAGGTTACAGCTTTAATGCATTAAACAAACAACATATCATTAAAAGAAAAGCAATAAATGTCAATTAAAAAAAAGAAGTTTAAGAACACAGGATTGTCGTCTGACACTAACTGGGTTTCCATCAGCCTGTGTGGATGCACCTTTTTAAGAATCACATGAGAAACAAGTTTAAATGAGAATCCCTTAATTCACAAAATGTTTTATGCTCACTTGAGGTCATTTTGGATTTGTGTGAAAAAGGGTTCATGATGGAAAAGCATTTGTCAAATGAACTTTGATGTAGCGAACATTTCTCAATTATACTTCCCTTGTTTACTGTTGGTTACGAGGTTACCAATACTACAGTTCAGCTGCTCGACCAACTTGATGGAAATTATTTGGTCATAATTCTTATTTAAAATTACAAAATATATAAATATATATTTAGTGAACTTCACATTGTGCTTCACATCAGGATGGAAACTCAGCTCATGACAGATTCATTTGACTATTGTCAAAATCTTCAAAATGTATTAATCACCTTAAACCAGGCATGGGCACGGAGAGCATGCAGTTTACTTCGAATGTTGATGTTCAACTGCAGGCAAGCGCAGATGAAATCCCTGCATTCTGAAAAGAAAGAAATACAGTACATGTAAATATTGGCTTGAAGTTTAAACATGCTTTTTTCATTGACATTCAAATTGTTATACACAACCATCTGTAACTGAAGAGAAGATCTCACCTTTTGACCCTCTGGCAAACTCTATGTCTCTGTTATGCAACTTGAAGAGGTCAACTACTACTGGATATTTTTTAAACAATAGCAAAAACTGAAGAATCCCGAGTGACCACACTGTCGCTGGCTCCCCATGGTATCTGCCAGTGTTTAAAAACTCGGGAGGGGCGAAAAGTCTTGTGCCTGAAAGAAAGAGATTTTGTTTTTATTAGCACAACATCTAAATTTCCAACAGTGTAGATCAGGGGTGATTAAACCCAGGATCTGTGTCCTGCAGTGTTTAGCTCCAGCCCCACTAAGATGAAACTGAACAAGCTAATCAAGCTCTTACTAAGTATACTAAACATTTTCTGTCAGGTGTGTTGAGGCAAGTTGGAGCTAAACTTAAGCCTCTAGGACTGAGCTTTGTCACCCCTGGTATAGATAAATAACAGCGGATGTTTCAAGAATCTCATTGAGCCTTGACCCATCACAAGAGCTCCTTAGAGCTTTGAGGGATTTACATACCTGAATAGTGATGGTAACAGTCTTTAGTAAGGAGGACACTGCACCCAAAGTCAATCAGTTTGACTTCAAAGGTCTCCGGATTTATCAGCAAGTTCTCCAGCTTGATATCGCTGTGAAACACTCCGCGTTGGCAGCACGTGTGAGCTGCAATTGTTACGTTGAACATGATTTTCCGTACCAAGTCCTCAGGGGTGTCTTCTTTGTTGTCGATTAAAAATTCACGTAAGTTCATACTGGGTATGAGCCGCTCCACGACTATGATGTAACGTTCAGCCTCCACCTTCCAGTCCAGAAGCTCAGCAATTTGTTTAACCCTGGGGCCTTTAGTGGCGAGATAGTGCAGAGCGATCTCTGATGGAAGAGGTTTTTCAAACCCACCCTAAAAGAAAAAACAGTTGTTCAGATCATTTGATGGAAAAGTTAATTCCTGTAAAAACTGTTAGAGACGTCTATCAGAAAAACCAGTGGGCAGATTATAGACAGAGGAGAA